TGTCTCTAGGTTGGACATTTCCTTTCAGGCCAGCTATGCTGACACCAGGAGCTGTGCTGGTTGACACTGCGGGGTTTCAGCAGTGGCTGTTTTTTGTTTTGTTTAGTTTTGTTTTTTGATACAGGGAATCGAACTCCCGACCTCGAGCTTGCCAGATGGGCCCTGTGCCACTGAGCTATATCCCTGGCCCTCAGCAGTGAGTTTAATAGTGATAATGTTTTTGAAGCTTTTTTTTTCCACCTCCAGGGCTACAGTGACTGTCCTGGGCTCCGTTCTCACCACTGTGTAAATGGGGCAGTCTGTGCTAGGGAGGCCCTGGGTCTCCCTCTCTCCTTGTGCCAGTGTGGAAGAGGCCTTTTCCAACAGCACTGGCAATCGATTTTGTTCAAGATCAAAGTTAATGCTCAATGTGTTTTATTTTTTCTGTACGAGAATTGAACTCAGGACCTTGAGCTTGCCAGGTGGGCACCGTGCCGCTGAGCTGTGTCCCTGGCTCCACACGCTTCCATCTGCTGCTCAGAATCACTTTTATTTCTAATTAGCTGTGTTCTGTTGGCAGTTCTTTTGCTCAAGATTTTTTTTTACTGATTTGTAGAAGCTATTTTAGTGAAAAATATAAAAAATAGTCATAAAAATTTATTGCAGTGAAAGACAGTGCCAAGAATAATGGGATAAATGTGTTCAAAGCCAGGGGGTGTATTTTGAGGGAGATTAACAGCAATGTTTCTTTTACAGTAATAAAAACTTTAACGTTCGCTGTATTTTTATAACACTCCGTTGATGAACTTTTTATGGCAACTTCTGTCACATAACATTACAGCGTGCTCCCATCCACCTCCTTCACCGCTCTTCCCCAGAAGAGAGAAGCTTGGAGTCCACTAAAGACCCTCAGGAAAGAAGACTCTAGAGCAGGAAGGATGGGATGAGTGAGGGTGGGGGTGAGGAGGAAGGATTTCAAGAGGACCCCGGTGTGTTTACAGTGGTAAATTAAGAGGTGGGTGGATGACACCCCCCCACTCCCACCCCCACCCCACCGTGAGGCGGGATGTAACAGGCCAGCACTCCCCCAGCCAGGCTCCCAGCCCCCAACCCCAGGATCACCATCTGGGAGGCAGCTGCCTCCGGCACCACCCCCAGGGCCCCCTGGGTGTGCACAGCAGAGGCCTCCCTGCAAAAGCCCTGAGGGAGCTGAGGGAGCTTCGGGGAGGGAGTCCACCAAGCAGCCAGGTCCTCAGGAGTCTGCCACCTCACAGCCAGCGGGCTGGGACCACCCAGTGAGGCCACTTCCTGTCTCCGGACCCACAGAAACTGAGATAATAAACATTTATTTTAAGCCACTGAGTTTTGTGGTAATTTGTATGCAGCAACTGATGTCTGATAGTGTGAAAGAACTTTAAATAAATTTGCCTCTTGACAGAATAAACATACAAAAGTGCACAATAGCCAGGCATGTTTATAATCCCAGTACTTCAAGAGGCTGAGGCAGGAAGGATCACAAGCTGGAGTCCAGCCTGGGCAAGACTTAGAAGACCCTAAGTTAATAAAGGGCCAGAATGCAGCTCAGCGCAAAAACCCTGGGTGCAATCCTTAGTACCAGAAATGCAAAAAGCTTTTAAAATACAATTAAGCCAGGATAGTGGTGTGCTCCTGTAACCCTAGCACTCAGAAGGCTGAGGCAGGAAGATTGTTGCAAGTTCAAGATCAGCCTGGGCTACAAAGTGAGGTCAAGGCCAGCCCAAATTGCAGAGAGCTCCTGTCTCAAAAAGCTGTAACTATTAATTCTAACATGTGAAATCTGAGTCTGCTTTGCTTATTTTGTTTTTGCTATGTCATCCAGGCTGGCCTTGAACTTCTGATACAGCCTAGGCAAACCTTGAGCTCACTATCTTCCTGCCTCGCCTCCAGAGTGCTAAGGTTACAGGGGTGTGCCACCATGCCCAGCCTCCCAGGTTCTCAGTGTGGTGGTTGTTTTGTTTCGGTGCTGGGATGGAACCCAGGGCCCACACACACTGGGCAAGCTCTCTGCCACTGAACAGCACACCTGTCGTCCGTGACTCACAGTCGCTCATTTTTCTTGAGTGGTACCAGTGTGAATTCTTTGGAGACAGACTTGAATAGAACCTGCATTTCCATTCAGACATCTGTGGCCACTGCACTCCTGGAACACTGTCTTTGGCGCCGGCTTCTCCTGTGCAAGCCCCGAAAGCAAGGAGCGCTTGTCTCTTAAGTGGCTAGGCTCAGCTTGTCCTCCGACACAGGTGCACATGTTCTGAGCACCACCCAGCATTGTGCAGGGCTCTCACTGGGCTGGGCCTCTGGGTTCTGCACAGGTCTCGGGGTGTCCTGCCCCAAGACACTGAAGACCCCAAGATCAATGCTCAGTTTCCCCTAGTTTATCAAATGCCCGCAAGGCATGGGTTCCTGACTTTCTTGCCAGCCTATTGCTGTATTCATTTCTGTGGTAGAAAAGACTTACACATTGTGGCACAAAGCCAATCGAAGTTTGAAATCATTAAGGAACTAACGTGTTTTATGTTCCTTTCTCTGTAAGCATCACCTCGGGAATTTGGAGGGCTTTGAGAGCCACCTAAACCAACAGCATCTGCACCAGCCTAGCTGTAAGTTGGAGATTTCACAGGTTATCTTTTTTTTTTTTTGTCTTTTTCATTTTTACCGGTACCAGGGATAGAACTCGCGACCACACACTTGCAAGGCAGGCCCTTATGCCACTGAGCTAAATCCCCAGCCCCTTCACAAGTGATCTTTTGAGCTTTGCTTTGTTTTTGCAGTGCTGGGGGTTCAACCCAGGACCTCGTGCCTGCTGCTGAGTGCTCTGCCTTTGAGCTACATCCCCAGCCCACTGGTTGCTGCATTTAAAAAGTATTTGTTGTCATTATTCACTCAACACTTTTTGGGCAGGGGATTTAGCTCAGTGGCGTAAGGGCCTGCCTGGCAAGCTCAAGGTCGTGAGTTTGATTGTCCTGGCAGATACAGGTGTCCATCCCCAGCTTTACCTTCCAATTCATCACTCCACTCTGACTTCATTACTCCACTCTCCAGAAGAATTTATTTTTTATTTTTATTTTATTTTTTGTCTTTTTCATTTTTATCAATACTGGGGATCGAACTCACAACTGCCTGCTTGCAAGGCAGGCGCTTATGCCGCTGAGCTAAATCCCCAGCCCCTGTTTTTTATTTTGAATTAATTTTTATTAGTACGTTTGCAGCACACAAGGATTCCGTTTGTTTCTCTGACACATCCCAATTCTTTTCTTGTCCCCAGCCCCGCCTTCCCCCTCCTTGCATCTCTTGGTCCCTTTCGAGTTTACAAAGATTGAAATCCCTACTTCCTCTTATCTTTCATTTTGCTTTTTATAGCTTGGGTTTCCCATGTAAGAGAAACCATGCAACTTTTAAGCTGGCACGTCTGACTCATTTCACACAATACCTGTTTCCCACAGACTACCCAGGTTCACCCTTCCTATGGCAGAGCAGTGCTCCCTGTGGGCGAAACCCATTCTCCATCTGTTCGAGGCTCAGCTACTAAGAGTGGTGCAACTACACTCGGGGGTGTGCATGGGCCACTGCCATATGATGTCCTTCACACTTGCTGGAAGCCACCTAGAAAGGGAATAGCTGGGTCTAGCGCAATTTCCATTTTCAGTTTGCTGAGGATCTCCACACTGATTTCCAAGGTGTTTGCACTAGCTATACTCCCTGCATTTAACAGTTACATCCTTCATTTCCAAGGTTCCTAATGAATTCTTTTTTATGTCTAATTCCTGCTCCTGAATTATGGGGACCAGGCCCTCTTTTATCTGCTAAGGAAGTAGTTAAAGCTCATTCTAGGATGCTGCCGTTCCATTTCCATGGATGTAAATGCTGCCCTTGCTGGCTGCTGGCTATCGTTTGAGGCCCTGGCACTCCACCTGTGTCCTGCAGTTCCTGTCTCTCAGCCCACCACACAGGGCGGTTTTCACCTTTTTCTTCTTTCACAGGGTTGCCTCCCCACCAGGACCTTGGGTCATACCCTGAGTACCTTTCAGGACCCTGGCCCTCATCCTGGGGACAGCCCCACCCTGAGGCCTGAGCTGATGCCAAGCAGTGCCTGGTTCTCTGTCACCACCTATCCAAGCCCTTCCACAGCCAGACTTGCGTCCCGTGGCACCAGCATGTGCAGGGAGCCCTTCCACCCTGTCATCCTAGGGAAGGAAGGCAGCTCTGCTCCACGGGCTCCTGGAGTCCCCGTCCCTTGTGGGAACTGGTCCTGGCTCATTCCTCGGCCCAGGGAGGGAGCTGCCACCTAGCCCTCACTAGCAGCTGTAGTTCCTGCTTCTCCTCGAGCAGAGGAGCTGCTGCAGGGTCCCTATTGCGGGTCTGATCATCATGTGGGTGTGCTGACCCCATGTCCACATAACCCGTTCCAGCCCCGGCCCTGGGCCCCAGCGCTGTTGGCCAGAGCTGCACCAAAGGTCCAGGAATCCAGTACCAAGGGCAGAACACACCGGGCAGCTTTGGCAGGAGGCTGGCAGGGAACCTAAGGAACATTCCAGAGTGCAGCCCCCAGGAGGAGGTGGCCCCAGAGGAGACTCTAGGTCCCCAAGCAAGGGCTCAGGCCAGGGCCCCAGCCTCTAGCAGATGCACCAGGGAGCCTGGTGAGTGGGCAGCTGATGAGTGGGCAGGGAGAGGGGCTGTTGGGGGTTCAGCAGGTGGGGTCTTGAGTCTGGAGTGGCCCCAGGCAGTTCTGCAGGGCCTCCCAGTCTCTTCCTTTCTCACTGGGATCCACGAGGCTCAGGGGGGAACACCAGGCAAAGCCCCGGCCCATGAGAGGTCCCAAGAGGATGTAGCCCATCTGGCACCAAGCGCTTTGAGACCACCAGTGGGCAACGATTCCGGCCAGCTGAGGATCTCCCGACTCTCTGGCCTTCCCCAGGAATAGTCTGCCTTCATGGCCACCCTGTCTCAAAGCCAGACTCCGGCACCCAGGACACACCGGACAGTTTTTGCTGCACATAGGGATTTACTTCTGAGACTGGGGGAAGTTCAGGTACAGACACACATAGGGGCGTGGGCATACCCGCTCAGGAGGCAGGGACCCTCGGGACGAGAGCTGTCCTTAGCCACAGGCCTCAGCCCCAGCGAGCCTGCTTTGGCTGTCTAAGATCCAGGGTGACATTAATCTGGCCTCACCTGCAGAGGCCATCTACAGGTTGGCCTGGCAGGCAGGGAGGCAACAGCCATCTCAGTCGGAGTCACAGGCAAGGAGGTAGCAGCCACCTCAGTCAGAGTCACAGGCCTCCTGCTCGGTGGTGGCATCCACAGCAGTGGCCAGGCTGTCCTCCTGGCCTTTCAGCCTTTCACCTGGGAGAGGCAGATGGGTGATGGAGAAGGGCCCTGGCCTGGCCAGCACCTTGAGAGCCAGAGTACAGACTGCTGGCTGCACTTACGAATTAGCTCGGCGATGGCCCGCTGTGTCCGCTTCTCCAGCTTCTCCAACTTTTTGGCCACATCTCTTTTGAGGTCCCTACAGCCAGAGAGAGGGTGAGAGGGTGGGGGCACTTGCACTGGGCCACACTGGGAGGAGACTTATGTTGCCCTCCTTGGGGGCCCTCAGAAACCCAGTGGGGGCAGCACCTCCTCGGGCCAGGGAGCCTCCTGGCTACTGACAGAGGTGACTCTGCCTGGGCACCCACAGGACTCAGCCTGCTCTCCCAGGCCCCAGGCTTCCCAGGCGCACACATGACTATGAGGCTTTTTGCTCACAGCAGTTTTTCCTCTTGGAATCCCAAGGGAGAGGGACAACACCCAGGGTAGGGTGAGCCCTGGGTCCCCACCCCAGCGCCTTCCCACCTCTCCCTCTCGGCTCAGTGGGAGCAACTCTATGGGCTGGGGCCTGAGGGTGGGCACCTTGATCTACGGGAAAGTGGGGGAAGAGAGGAGCAGGGACAGACGCTGCCTCCGTTTCTCCATCACGGCTTCTCACAGCCCTCTCAGAGCTCATCCCCAGGTCCCTGCACCTCCACCCCAGCCTGCAGCAACACTCACCAGTCAGGCTTCCGGGGTGCCAGGTTGGCCAGGTCCTGGGGGGAGGAGATGCGCATCAGCGTGGAAGGGCCCCAGGGACATAGGGCGACAGGGAACAAAAGGCAGGAATAGGAGAAAGGGCAGCAGGAGGAAGGATGGACCGGGAGCACAGGACAGGAGGAGCCAGGAAAGACACCTGTTGCTGGGCACTCACCACTTCCTCAATGACGGGCTCAGGCTTGGCGGCCTCCAGCTGCTCCTTCACCTTCTCCTCCACTAGAGGGCACAAGACGACAGCGCAGGCCGCTCAGGAAGGCGTGGCCCCGTAGGAAGGCTACCGGTGACTTCCAGAGGTCCCACGCCTTCCCTCGGCCTGGGTGCTACCAGGCACAGAAGGGACTGTGGAGAGCTGCAAGCTGGAGTTGACAGGACCCAGACCAGCACCTGTAGCCGCCGTCTGCCCACAGCGGAGGACTGCCTGGATACACAGGAAGTAGGGTCTCCTCTGTATCAGTCTGGAGCCACGGGGCTTCTTCCTGTCCCAGCTGAGTGTACTGACAAGGTCTCCATGGAGTCAGAGACAGGTGCACCAGGCACGAGGCCCCTGGCGCCCCCTGCTTTCCTGGTCCTGAGTCCAGGTCGGCTCCTCAGCCCTTTCTGATCCTTCCTCTGGTCTGTAACAGATTCGGGGGCACAGGGACCTGGGAAGGGCGGCTAGTCACTGCAGTCGGCAACCACAAGCTCTAGCTTGCTTGTCAAGTAATAAACAACCAGTACCACCCCAGACTTCTGATCAAAATGCATGGAGTAAAAAACGCGAAAGTTGCATGGTGGCTGAACACCAGGTGTGAGGGGACCTACTGTGCAGTACTGGGGCTGGGGCCCAGGCCTGGCTCTGGCTTAGTAAGCCTCCTATGCAGAGTGGCTCCTGAATGTGTCTATTCATTCATTACTTGTGCCATTAAAAGCTGGTAACAAAACCGAATGTAATCCCAGCACTCAGAAGGCTGAGGCAGGAGGCTCGCCATGAGCTTAAGGCCGGTCTGGGCTACATAGTTCAAAGATAGCCTGGATTGCATAGCGAGATCGTGCCTCAAAAAACCAAACAACAAGAAAAGAAACATAACCAAATAGGCCAGGAGAGACAGCTCAGCATTTGCCTAGCATGTGAGACCCTGGGTTTGAGTCCCAGTAGTGCCAAAAGTTGCTAACAAAATAAAGATCAAGTCCAGGGCCAGAGAGCAGGAGGCCCTGGCAGGCACATGTGCTGGCCAAAGCCCTGGCTGCTGTGCTGCCCACACCACAGCAAAGCTGGGAGAAGCCACGCCCTGACCCTGGGTTGCCTGCCTGCCTGCCTGTAAGCTCCAAGACCCTAGACCCCCGGGGACCCTGATGGCTCTGGGGACCCGAGGACCCTGCCCTGCCCGCAGCACTTCTGCTCCTCACTCCAGGGGCCCCGAGGTCACTCCAGCTCCTCACAGCCTCCTGGAGAAGACCAAATGGGCACCTGCCAGGAGATGCTGCTGGAGGCAGGCCTAGGGGTTGAGAGAGCAGTTGCCCACCTGCAACTGGCTTGGCCTGGGGTACCCTCCTCCTCTTCAGGTCCTCATCCTCTGGGACGTAGTTCCTCAGCCTGAGTTCCCTGTGACAGCAGAGAGCGAGGCAGAGATGAGTCACCTGCAGGGCAGTCTTGCTTACCCCACATGACCTGTGAGCCAATGTGCCCACACCCACCCAGGAGGCTGCTCCCTGACTCCCCTCTGGCCTCTCTAGAGCCCCTCCAGGGGTCCAGCCTGTGCCACATAGCACCCACTTGACAGGCATGGGAGCCGAGGTCTCACTCAGGGACTGCCCACCTGAGACCATGGCTGGGTGTGTGCTCGGGCTGAGTTAGTTCTGCACTGGAAGCCAATGGTCACAGGGCAGTCCTCCCTGCCCAGCCCCTCCTCAAGAGTCCTGCATCCTGAAGCCAACATTCACAGTCCCTTGAGTGCTAGTGGATAAGGTCTGGGTGAGCTAGGTCGAAGTCTCGAGGCAGTGTGAGGTGGAGTGATGTGGGGACAGGTGCCGGAAGGGAATCCACAAGTGGCAGGGCTGCTACAGCTGGCAGGAACATGGAAGGAGGGCAAGAGGAAGTGACAGGGCAAAGGGACATAGCATACTCGAGGATGACCCCACCACAGCTGTGGGGAGTGGCCAGGGAGGCCAAGGGGCAGGCATGGCCAGGGCACGTCTAACACCCAGCACAACCAGTGCCCCCACCAGAGGCCTCTGGAATTCCAGCAGGATTCCCCACCTGTGTACAGAGGCAAGGCCTGCAGCTGCTTCTGGCCCCCTCTCTCCGAGCAGGGGGCTCAGCAGATAGCGGCCCTCACACATGCACACTCACAGGACTGCCCCAGAGAGGACAGGCCCTAGTCACTTCACAGAGCAGTGAGTGCAAATTCTCCAGGAGCTGCAGAAGGTGCTCCTCACCCCCTCACCTCCTGTCTTAGGCCCTTGGCCATGGGTTCCTCAGACACTCGTTGGCTCCCACCCACTCTCTATCTCCTATGACCCCTCTGTCCAGACAAGAGGGGAGAATGAGGCTCTCCAGACAGAGACAGGGGACTTGGGCCTCAAGGCCAGTGACCAGTGGCAGTGCCTCCAGCTCCGGCACCAGCACGCCAGCACTCCCCACCCCCGGGGCCCAGCTGACCCTCTGTGTGGCATCAAGGAGGTCACTACAGGGTTGGCAGCAGGGAGGAAGTCCAGCTAACAGCTGCAGCATGCTTTGACGTGACCTGCTAACACCTGGGGTAGCCTGGGGCAAGCCGGAGCAGAGGTACACGGTGGGAAAGTAAGGCTAGCAACAGGTGGGGAGAAAGAGGAAGAGGAACTGGGCGTAGGAAGAAAGTCCCAGGGATTAGTGAGGCAAAAACCTGGCTCAAGGTTTTGTGAGTAACCCCAGCCTCGGGCTCACTCTGCTGGAAACAGGAAGGACATAACCAGAGGGCGTGGGGGGCAAGAGGCCGGGCCACAAGGCAGACAGCAGCCCCACAGCATGTAGTCAGGGACACCTGACATTCTAGGCCTTGGCGTCCCCACCTGTAAGTACGGAGGTGACGCCAGGTCCAAGCTCTCTCCTGAGAGCAGATGCCTAGCTAACTGGCTGCTGAAGGGTAGGGGACACAGGGAAAGGAGCACTGGACTCTACTAGGGGCCTGGCTTTTCCAAAATGGAGCCCAGAGTCAACCCCTCTTCTACAAACAATTTAGCAAGACTGATGACAGATGCACCCCGCCAAGGCTCAGACCCAGGCAGAGATAAGGGAAGTGACACCAGGCCTCTCCCCACTTGGACCACCTGTCTGTTTACAGGCAGTGGCTCCAAACCTGAGCCTCTTGCAATCTCATGACACCAGGGAAAGGTGCAGAGGGTGATCAAGGAGCAGGGCTCTGATATAAGGTAGATTCTCACTGGAAGAGAGTAAATGACCCGGAACCTCAGGTTACCTCCAGAAATTTTCATACACAACGTCCAGGAGTCAATCAAAACAGGAGGAAAACTAAGCAGAAATATACTCACAAGAGACACACATGCTGGAATTATCAGAAATGAAACTTACAATAATCATAATTAACAAAGGTTCAGGGAAGCAGACCACAAGATAATTTTAGCAGAGAACCAGATGCTGTAAAAGCTAATTTATTGGAGCCAGACATGGTGGCACATTCCTATAATCCCAGCATTCAGGAGGCTGAGGTGGGAGGATTGCTATGAGTTTGAGGCCAGCCGGAACTACACAAGAAGACTCTGTCTCAAGCAAACACACAAACAGACTAATTAAATGGAAACTCCAAAGCTAAAATATATAACCAAATTTTAGAGCTCTGTGAATGGGCTTAACAGCAGTTTAGATATAGGTGAAGAAAACAGTGAATTATAAGACAGGCCACAAAACATCCAGACTGAGACACAGAAGAATTAAAGTGGAAACCACAAAGCGTGTAAGACACAATGAAGTATGAGGGAAGGACCAACACACATATAACTAGAATGTCAGTACTAATATTCAAGGAGACAATGACTAAAAACATTTTACGGAATCAAAGAACCAGGCAGAATTAAAGAAGGAAATAATCATCAATCACAACCATAGATTAAAGAAAACTGTAAATCCCCCCCAAAAAGCATGCCTAGGCAAGTTCTTTCCAAACTACTAAAAAAGAAAAAAAGAAACAAAACCCAAAGAGAAATACTCAACCTTCAAAGAAAAAAAGCTAAGACTGACAGCCAACTTCTCACTGGAATGTGTGAAAACCGTGAAACAGTGGAACACCATCTGAGAAGTGTACAAGGGACATAAAACACCACACAAGACTTCTAATCTCGCTCACACGCCTGCAAGACAAAAAAGTCAAGACAGAGCCAGGCATGGTGGTACACTCAGGAAACTGAGGCAAGAAGATTGCTCCGAGTTCACAGCCAACCTGGACTACACAGTGAGTTTAACGCCAGCCTAAACTACATGGCAAGAAACATACCAACACCAACCCCAAAAACAAAAAAAGAAAATTCAAGACAGAGAGGAGACAGTGCATGTGGTGACACACAACCATACTCCCAGCACTCAGGAAGTTGAGCAGGATGATCGTGAGAGTTCAAAACCCGCCTGACCTACAGAGACAGCCTGTCTCACCCACACACACACCAAAAAAGAGAGAAATAAATGACATCCAATGTTTTGAGGCCTAGCGCTGTATGGGCAGTGAGGAAAGTGCTACTGCTTTTGTTAGACTTTGCTAAGTTAAAGGTATAGGCTCCTATGTCTAATGAAACTACTAAAAGAAAGGGAGAAGAGTATATAATTAACAAGAGGAAGGAAAGGGGGTGATTAAACCTAAAAGACCAGAACTGAGATAAGAAAGAAAAGGCACCAAACACAGAAAGGCCTTGGGTTCACATCTGCCCTTTACAGCAGCTGGGGCTGCTACCACTGTGAGTCTGGGCAGGGCACGGCCCCAGGGGCACCCAGGCCAGTGACGCAGGCCACCACCCTAGCCCAGGTAGGCCAGCCAGGAAACGCTGAAGCTGCCTGTGCTAAGCAGGTGGCCATGGACACCTGACACTTTTAGGAGCCACAGGAACCCGGTGCTGGCTCCATCTCCCATCTCGGAGTGAAGAGGAGGCTGTGCAGGGAGGAGGTGCTGGGGCCCTGGACCCTCAGTGCTTTAGAGACGCCGGAGAGACCACATCTTCCGCAGCACACATGGGGAGACCAAGGGGCCTGGCTGGCTTTGCTCATCTCTGCAGCTCTCTGCGCAGCAGTGGGGATAGGACAGACCTGCACAGGGCAGAGCAGGATCCAGCTCCACAGCTCCTCCTGTGGCCCAGGCCACGCTGGAGGTAGATGACAGCATGTGAGGGCTCCCAGCCCCAGCTCTCCAGGAGCTACAGCTGAAGGTACACAAGACAGCCAGCCAGGCCGCCCCATCCTAGAGCTGCTACACCAGGACACAGCTACCAGATGCCCTCCTAGGACTACAATGTGGAACTGAGAGGAGCAGGATAAGGACATGAGACAGGGAGCAGAGCATGCAAGTACCAGAAGGTTCCAGCCCCTACATAGCCTGTGGGAGGGGCTAAAAAGTCCGCCCCAAGGTTGGAAAGTGGGAGCAGAGGAAAGTACTCTGCCCTGTGCACTGCTGGAGACTGTCTCAATTCTGAACTACCTGAATTCCTCAGGTACCCACACATAATATGTGTCCAGGGGTGATGGTGTACATCTATAATCCTCTTGCTTGGAGGCTGAGGCAGGAGGATCATTTTAGAGTTCAAGACCAGCCTGGGCAACACAGCGATTTCAAAGCTAATCGGAGCTACAGGGTGAGGCCTTGACTTTAAAAAAAAAAAAATCAATACAATCTTTCCCCAAATGGCTATACCCATTAGGTGGATCATTATATAAGCACTGAAAATATGTTTATGTAAAGGATTGTTTTGATCATGTAACAGAAAATTCACAGGAGGAAGTTTTTTAACTTTCTTCAATTTTATGTCATCTACAGAGTTTCTCAAGTAATCAGCATTCTGATTCCTACACCCCATCAACCAATGGAGCAGCCAGGAGGAAACAGACAGAGGGGTCATGATGAGGTTGACCTCCATGGCAGAGGACGGCAGGGCTGCATAACTGGGCAGCGTGCTCCGTCCACGCTGTCCCCCAGGCACAGGGAAGCAGAGGCCAGGCCATGCTTTGGGGTCTTCCTGCTTTGACGCCCAGAAAGCAGGACAGTGCAGCGAACCCAAAGGCTACTACTTTTGTGCCAGCAACCTTGGGCCATCTGTCCCCTCCATGTTGGTGGCCACTATCAAGTTGGACCCTGCTGCCTCTCCACAGTGGCCACCTCAGTGTTTCCTCTTCCTGCCTCTGACCCAGGCCTACAGGGTCCCCAGATGAGTTTAAACGTCTTCACAGGTCCTGACCCTAGCTGCGCCCCTCCCACCCTTCAAGTCCCCTGGGCAGGTCCTAGGGAGGCACTGTGAGCAGCATCCACCCCGGGAACCCCCGGCACACTCCTGCTGGGTACTCAGGCCCTATGTCTCTCCTGCCAGGCTCGGCTCCCAAGGCCCAGCCAGCCAGCTCTGGGACACCCAGTGGGGAACTCTCATAGGCTCTTGCTGACTGGAGCCCTGCAGACACAGAGAGCAGGGCTGCTTCCAAGCGACATGGTCTTCATGGCACGGTGAAGTGAGTCCAAGTTCATGTTTTCCTGAGCTCCCTTCTAAAGTTCCTCATCTGCTTCTCCTCCAGAGACCTGCCTGGCAGGGGGGAGCGACCACAGCAGGGGGCCCTCCAGAGGCCAGCTGCAGGGGCCTGGAGACTCAGGGGAAATACCACTTGGGGTGTTTTTTTAACACCCTCAAGAGCTACTGAAGGAGGGGCGGGGTGAGTTGAAACACTCTTAACTGTTTAAGCCCACAAGCAGAGTTCTGTGCCAGCCAGTGAAACAAGGCTTTAATGTGAGGAGCTTGGTCCAGCTTCATTTCTAGCAAACAGGGCCTCACTTCGCAGTAGTTTAGGCTCCCTGCATAGCCCAGGGTGCCCTCTAACCCTGATGATGGTCCTCCTGCCCAGCCTCCCAAGTGCTGTGATCACACCTGCCTTGCCCCAGAGATCTTGGAGCCACTCCACACTCATCCCCTGCCCTGGACTCTAGCAGAGGGCCAGATAAAGATGGAAGGGGCAGTCCATGTGACCAGCTCCTAGGGACAATGCCCTCCTGACCATCTACCCCCTCAGGGGCTGGAGCAAGCCGGCACATGGCTATCCTCATGCTGACAGACCCAGGGGAAGTATCTATCTTTAACCTTCTGAGTAGCAAGCACAGGAGCCTCCCAGGACGCACACACACCCCCGACACACTTTAGGTTCTGTGTCCCAAAGCCAGTAAGTAACACCTCCTGGCTGCTGCCAGTGACCAGACCCTAAAGGACCAGAAAAGCCAGGGGGTGGGACCAGACCATGCCGCACCATGGCCTCAGTTGGACGGTCCCCCCAAAGCTCCTTATTGTGCCCAAACCACTTGACCCAGTGACCCTGCCCCAGGGAAAGATCCCACCGAAACAGAAGGAAACGGGGGGTGTGTGCAAGACAGTTCTGGCAGTGCAAGAGGTATAGAGCCAGCAAAGAGTGAGGTGACCCTCTGAGCACCCTTCACACAATGCCAGGAGATGCCACCGGATGTTCCAGAGGAGGGAACCGGCCAGACACTGGCAGCCCAGCAACTCAGTGCAGGAGAAGCCAGGATGCAGACAGGATGGAGACCCTGGGAGGAGTTGGGTGCTGGGAGTTTCTGTTTGGCGGGAGTTTCTGTTTGGCGGTTAACATCTTCCTGTGGGAGACCAGATGGTCGCATGATGAAAGTCTAGAGAGCCTGTGGCTCCATGCGCCCAGGCAGAGGACAGCACAGGGTAGCAACCCCTTCATCTCCCAGCCCCCTCTCTGGCCTCCTGCCCTCTAATAACCACAGAGAACTCAGGCTGCCTGGAGCACACGGCTGAGTGCAAGACAGGGTCACAGCACGCGGTCAGGGGGCTGGTGACACCACCTCAGGACCATCCTTCAACACAGTAAGGGCAGGAGCTGACACTCAGTGGGGCAGAAATGGCCCAGACTCTGGATATGCTCATGTTGAAGGATGAGCAATAGCTGGGATCTGAGCCCGAGTCTCGTTGGGGACTGATGTGGCTGTGGAGGGAAACAGCTACCAGACCACACCTCTGCCCAGGGCAGGGGCTCAGCCAGGGCTCCATGCAGTGAGGGAGGAAGTCCAGCCACTGCCACCTCCCAGGAGTTCAGCCATCGGTGTCACCTTGGAAACGCCTCCTCCGGCCACAAAACCCCATCCTCTCAGCTCTCCCTGCTATGTGGAAAAAGCTTCATCAGCCCCCAAATCACCACAAATTGTAGGTGTCAGAGGCAGGAGGCGCCTGAGAAATAACTGCCACACTCTCGCCTTAAAGACAGGTGGCTGGGGTTAGGGGTGCAGCTCTGGGAACCCTTGGGTTCAGTCCCCAGCACTGAAAACAAACAAGCAAACAACAAAACCGAAGGCCACAAGAGGCAGAGTCCAGAAATGAGGCCCATCCTCGACCCTGCACATAGATCCACCACTATTGCCACTGAGTTCACCAACCCACAGCAACCCCATGGCGCACCTGTGGCCCCCAGAGGACGAGGTCAGGACCAGCCAGCAGCTGTTCTGGGACACAACCAGGCCAGGCACCAATCTGCCTGGGCCACCCTCTCAAGGTACTGAAGAACCCGACCCGGTCACCTCACAGCCTGCCTGAATGCCTGCAGCCAGTCAGGTGCTCACAGGAGCAGGAACAGCTGACACGTGCTCTTCAGGCTGAACGGATGAACCAGGCACTGGAAAAGACATGGTAAGCAGCCTTGGGAACTGCATGGAAAGCGTACATCGGAAATAGTCATGGGAGGTTAAAAAAAAAACAAGTCGGGGGCTGGGGATTTAGCTCAGTGGCATAAGCGCCTGCCTTGCAAGCAGGCAGTCGTGAGTTTGATCTCTGGTACCGATAAAAACGAAAAAGACAAAAAAAAAAAAAAAAGCTGTCAGATATGTACAGGTGGGTGTTAACCTGCATTTTCTGTTTTCAAAATTACAAACACCTAAATATACCTTAAATACCAATTTAAACTGAAAAGGTACTGAGGTGAAATCCAAGGGCTCTGACCAGGGTTACAGCTCAGTGGCACAGCAACTGCCTGGCAAGCACAAGGTCGTGAGTTCGATCCCCTGTAGCCCTCCCCCCAAAAACAAGGGCTCACAGCTGAGGACTGCTTGACCACACTGGCCATGAGGGGCTAATGCCCAGATACAGGGAGGGGCTGCATGCTGCTCACACCTGTCGCTGGGGAAGACATGCCTCTCGTCAGTCAAGGGGAAACGTGGGCCAGGTGTGGTGGCACATTCCTGTAATCCCAGCACTCGGGAGGCTGAGACAGGAGGATTGTTAGAAGGCCAGCCTGGGCTACAAAGTGAGCTCAAGGACAGCCTGAACTGACAGTGAGACCCTGCTTCAAAGACCAAAATAAATAAGGGCACATGGGACAGAGGTCATGGTGTCCATGGCGGGGACCACTGAGGGTCAGGAGGTGGAGCAGAGCAGCACCTGGCCTGGAAAAAAGCACCTGGCCTGGCAGAAGCTGGTGACGGTGCATCTCTTCACCAGGGTCACAGGAGGGTGGGTGAGCTCATGATTACCATCCTGGTCACCTCAGAGAGGAAGCAGGGAGGGTCCCACTGCCAGCTTACTCCCTGTGGCCAGAACTGCAGCTCCCACACCTACAAAGGTGGGCCACGCTCATCCCCTGGGCAGAGGGCAACTTCAGGCTCCAAGAATCCTGCTGTGAAGGTCCCAGCAGGATGCCATGACTCTTTTCATGTGGAAAGTACCAGCCCTGCCCCACCCGGTCACATAGAAGGACATCCCGGGCACTGGTCACAAGGGAGGGATGCTGCCCCTTCCTTACACCAAGCCTCTGGGACTGCATTCCCAGGCCTGTTTTGGAGATACAGGGTCAAGGGACAGTGCTGCAGGTGTCCAGGCCATAGCGCACAAGGGCACATACATACTCACACACACCCAGAGACAGGACATTGTGGCCTGGAACCAGGCTGAGATAACTCAGGGGCTGAAGGTGCGGCTGTGTGGATGCTCACCCCAAGGGCAGCAACATGTGCAGAGTCAAGCTGGTGTCACGGGTCTGTCACACTCCTACGTGCAACGGTGCCACCCCCAGGACCCAGTTCTCAGAGTGAAAGTCAGGCATCTGGTAACTGGAAAGGCTTGGACCCCATCAGGGCTACGCCTCAGCTGGGTGGCAATGCCCCACAGTGGGACGCACACACATGTGAGATACGAACAGGCTTCCCAGCTTCAAAGCAGAAAGACCAAGGCCTCGTTTCCTTTGCCATACAAGGCACGTGAGCACACACGAGCATGCACACACACACACACACCCCTGCAGCCACTGTTAGTGCTCTGCTCCCACCTGCCAGCTCCAACCAGGCCTAGAGCTGGTGATGGACAGGACCCTGCCTCAACCTCAGAGCTGCTTCCAAACCCTGAAGCTGCTCCGTCTGCTGGCCCTATTATTTCAAGGCCCACTGCGGAACCAGGAACTGTCTCAACTTTACTCCCCCATGTCCCAAGCTTAAAAAAAGCACGATGAGTCAGCTGTGCCAGTCACTGGGTCTGGCTACCTGTTCTGGTCTGTGTGGCGTGCACAGGGCACAGAGGAATGCCAAGTGATCTGGAGGCTGCCTGGGGTCACCCAAGGATTGACATTCAGAGCCAGTGGCAGTGTGGGATGGCAGGGCACAGAGGAGCCCGAAGGAGGAGACCCTGTCCCTCTGTGGGAGCGGGGCACAGACCGCCCGCTCAGGCCTCAGGCAAGGTCTGTCCTGAGGGCGGGGCTGGTGAACGTTCTGGCTATGCCGCTCCACAGGGCCACCTATGTGAAATCACAGGTTCAAGCTTTTGGGCCTGCATTTCTCAAGTTCCACCCTCTGCCGGAGACCTAACCCAAAAGTCCTGCTTTCTTCCAGGCCTTGCTCTGCTGCTGAAGATGACCCGAGCACCTTTGCACTGGTCAGGACACTCCTGGAGGGCCTGGCAGTTGGGTGGCCCAGGCTGGCCTGGATGGAGCCCCTGGGAACCCAGAAGCTATTCCCCCACCAGAGCAGGAAGGTCACTGCTTTCCCCGAACCGAGAAAGGGGCTACGGTAGAGCTGTGACCTATAGGCCCCAACCCACAAGCATCCTGCTGGGGTTCTTTTCTAGACTCAGCATACAGATGAGGGAGAGGTTCCTCTGCTGAGGGGACAGAGCCTCTCCAGGGAGGCCCAAGCCTGGACCCGCATTTAGGGTGAAGTCCAGTGGGTTTGGCTTTGTCTTACAGACCAAGGCTCCGAGAGCCTTCTGGAATGTGCTGCATTCTGGTCAGAAGAGTACGTTGCTCTCTGGGGACACCAAACACAGGTCCTTGTGAGGCTGTGTTTCCTGTGGGTGGCGACCCAGGGCAGGCGAGCCCACCTGCCAAAGCCTCCAGAGGGTGGCTCTGGGACTGCACTTTCTTCCGGTCACCAGCCTGGAGCTGTTCCACCACATCACCATGCTCCTTCTGCCTTTGTCTGCGATGGCCTCAGACTTATGATGCTCCTGCCTCAGCTTCCCAAGTGCTGGGAGGACAGGTATGCGGACTAGGCCTGGCCTCTTTCCCTTTTAGTTCTGAACAATTGAGAGAGTAACACAGCTCATCTGCTAGGTTCCCTGCTCAACAGAAATTGCTTTTTGCCTAATATGTAACAGGTTTGTCTCTCTTTCTCTTTTGTCTGTTTTAAAAATAAAATCAAGGGCTGGAGATGCACTGGGTGGTAAAGCACCTGCCCAGCAGGTGGTGCAAGGCCTGAATTTGATCCCTGGCCTTGCATGAAAATAGAAACACAAATATAAAGCAGACATGGTAGTCACCCTCTGTCTCCCGGGGTGCATGTGGAGCTACCGAGGGTCTGGATCCAGCCACACTTCTGCAGGGCTTCTAACATCACCTCTGTTTTCCACTGTGAACAGTCCAAGTCTGTCTGAGATGGGCACTGCACTGCTGCCTCCGGGGACCACACTGGTGTCCTGCACAGGGCAGGCAACCAGAGAGGCCACATCACAGCTCTGTGTCTATACCTGACAAGGCCACACCTTCCTGCCCCGCAGGTCTCCACCTTGAAACCTGCTTTGCCCTTCACCAGACATGACATTGAGATCCACCCACAGGGTCCAACATTCAAGTCCACCGTCTGACCCCCACCTGCCACTCACCAAGGACCCTTTGTTCCAAGTAAAGAGAAAGATCAGAAGAGACCACGAAGGCCAGGGATGGTGGCACATGCCTATAACCCCAGCTACTTGGAAGCTGAGAAAAGAAGATCACAAGCCCCGTGGGCAATTTAGCCTGACCCTGTCTCAAAGAAACATCGGCTGGGAATGTAGCTCAGTGGCAGAGTGCTTGCCTAGCATGTAAGAGGACCTGGGTTCAATCCCCAGTACCAAAATTTTTTAAATTAAACAAAATAATAATAAAGAGACCACCCAGCAATCAAAACCGGTCAGGACACTGGAACTTGGGCTCTAACCAGAGGAAACCAAGGAGTCTCATGTGCTCATGGTGGATGCGGAGACCGCAGGTACCACCATGAGCCACACAAGCGGGGGTTTCCAGGCAGAGGATGGTAACCAGGCTTTCCCCTTTCCATCACCAGTCAGGGGCCCCAGGGGCAGACTGAGACAAAAACAGCCCAGAGCCCAGCACAGGGACTCCTGGAGCACAGCTGTCACACATCTGAACCAGGGGAGAGGACGAGGAGCCTGCAGGGCCATCCAGAACAGTGTCCGGATCTGCTGTGGGATGAGGAGCTGCCATGACAGCCTGTACGGGGGAAGCCTCCTCTGCTTGCCTTAGGAGGGCCTGCGGGGTGCCAACTCGCTTCCCTGGAGTACTCTTTCCAGAGCACAGCCCACTGAGGTCCACTGCGCCTGAAGGGTGCTGCCTGTGGCAGAGGAAGCCGAGGCCACTGGTCTGGCACTGCAGAGCCCCAGTCAGCAGAGTAACGACAAAGAGAACAGGCAGCCTCTGGTATGTCAGAGGGGGGGTGCTGGTCGGACAGGAATGCTGTGCCTGGCTCACAGCCACATACAATGGTGTGATCAAAAAGTACAGTGAATGTTTACATTCAAAAAATGTTTTACAGTAAGGCACGAAGCCATGAATCCCCCTTAAAACATTCTCCTTTGCTTTGAACACATGCATCCCATCCATCTTGCCACTTTCTGCAGCAGTTTTGGAGGCCTCTTTTCTGAAGGTCTGTTATGGCTGTGTCTAGATGTCCCCCAAAGCCTCATGCAGTCATAGGTAGGGCTAGGGTACAATAGTGCAATGCTAGGATTCATGGTGCAACTCTAGGATTAAAGGTGCCAGGATTAAGGATGGGTGATTACTAAATCAGTTCACTGATTAGTTTGGCATGGTTCTAATCCCAGGGTAGAATATAAATCACAGGAGGTGGCTCATCGTGTCCCTCACTTGCTCTTCAGCTTTCTACCCACCATGAACTGTTTCTCCTCTGTGATGCCTGTTTGCCACATCACCCTCTTTGGAGCCAGCTGACTATGAAGCAAAACCTCTACAAACTGCAAGCTGAATAAACCTTTCCTCCTTCACTGTGCATGTTGGGTATTTTGTCTCAGCAATGAGAAAAGTAACTAAGACAGTTCATTCTAAGGTCCGATATCAAACACAGTGAACTCTGCTGCTGCTGAGTCCCTTTCAAGGGAAACACAGCCCATAAAAACACAAGGCTGGATCCTCATCCACCTTATCCACCAGCTCCATTGTGCGACTCCTGGCTCTTCCCAAAGTCAAAACGACCAGGAAAGGTCAACAGTGTCAATCAGATCAGAACATCCGGCAGCCACAACAGCACATCGAGGCATCAGGAAAGAAGCCTCCCGGAGCTGCTACAGATTGTGGCAAGAGTGACAGGTAAGTGTATTTAAGGTGGTGAGGGAGAGGATATGGAGAGGGATTCATGGCATTGTCTTTCAGTGGTAATAAACTTTAAAACTGTAAACATTTACCATATCGTTCCATCACACCAAGTAGCTCTCCCTTCCCACGCTGTTTTGGCAATGCTGGGAATGGAACCCAGGATCCTGCATGTGCTAGGCAACTGTTCTACTCCCCCCGCCAGGCACCCAGCCCGCACAGGCACTTCTGAAGCAAGGCAGTGAGCAGCTCTGTGTTGGCCCTTAAGATTTGGGAAGGGCACTTCCACCCAGGCCCATGAGGGCAGTGTGGCCAGACCCTCACATGTGCCATGCTGGGCAACTAAGCGACTCAGCCATGTGTCAGAGTTCAGCAAAGCAGATCGGCACTCTAAGTAGCTACCCGAGGAACGGGGCTGGAGAGAGCAGCAGCGCCGGAGCTGAGTTCTGGCAGGACAGCTTCAGAGGGGGCAGAGGGGAGAGGGTAGCAGGGACAGACCAACGGACACAGTGCTGCTCAGGAAGCGCCGAGCCAGCAGCAAGGTGGACACAGCCTCGTCCTCTAGGTGGTGCTAGCCCATGTTAGAGAAGCGGGCCTGGCTCTGCACGTGACACGGAACACAAGGAAAGGGTGCAGCAGGAGGCAAAGCCATATGGCCGTCAAGGAGAGCATGCAGGGAAGGGTGGTGTCTGGCTGTGGACACGAGAGTGGGGCAGATGGCCACAGAGCACCACATGCAGGCTCCACCTGTGCTTCTCGCCTTCCTCCTCCTCGTCTCGGAGCTGCTTGGTCTTCGGCTCCCCATCTTCCTTGTCCTGCAAGACAGGGAGAAACCCACCGCTCAGACAGCCACTCCCACTCCTAGCTCACGTGGCACCAAGGAGGACTGCACATCTTTGAAGCCACACACTCAGCACCTCATAGTGTGATGCTCCCTGCCCTCTACATGCAGCCTGAACCCCCTGCAGGTCCCAGGCATGGTAGCCCCAGGGGGTTTAGATGGTGGGAAATGGAGCTGGTCAGTGTCACAGAGTCTATGCGGGCAGCTGACCCTCTTCAGGGGTCTAGAGAGAGTGAGGGCAGACGGGAAAGGACCAATCTGATCACTAGCAACCAAGGTGGAAACAGAGCTCTCCAGGCTGGAGGCATCTCCAGAAATATCTGTGGGTGGATAGACTGAAATGGAGATTTCTATACACTTTAGGCTAACCTTGAACCCACTATGTAGCTCACTCAGGCTGGCCCTCCTACCTCAGCCTCCTGAGTACTGCATTACAGGCATACGCCTCCATGCACAGCCACAAACACTATTTAGTTCCTTTTTAGGAAATGAGGCCCACTAGAATGGGGACTATGATGCACTCTGGGAGATGGAGGCAAAGGGAATTCTTGTTTCTAGGAGAAAATGTTCTCCCACCTCTAGTTCTTTGGTTCAGTCCTACCCATCTCCCACTTTTTCTTTTTTTTGGTACCGGGGATCAAACTTTCATGACCTCACCCTTGCCAGGCAGGTGCTTACACCACTGAGCTAAATCCCCAGCCCACTTTTTGGTTTTGATGTTTCCTGAAATGGGATCTTGCTATGTTGCAAGGCTAGTCTTTAACTTGTAGGTCCAAGTGATGCCCCTGCCTCAGCCTCCTACATGGCTGGGACTGCAGGTGTGCCCTATCTCTCCCACCCATTTTTAGTGTAGAGAAGTCCTGTTCATGTCACCCTTGGCATGGTGTGCTTGTTCTCAGGTGCCCCCAGGCCCACAACAGGAGGACATTGCCCGCTGCTTCCACCTGCAGCACAAAGCGTCCGTGGGCTGTCCTGCTTCCTGTCTTGCTGCTGTGACTGCTGGCCTGGCACATGAAGCCCCAGCCACATGCCTGAAAGCACAGGGGGTTCTCCCAGGTCCCATGTCCCCATAGACTGTCTGAAGCATGCACCTCTCCCTGCCTAAAGACTCACCCAGCAGAGTCAGGGCAGCATCCCCAGGCTTCCTGTCAGTCAGTGACTCTCCGGCAGGACAGTGAGCACCCATGGAAGGACAGTGTCTGGGGCGATGACCCCACCCAGCTGGACACTCAGAGCTCAGAGCCAGCGGCCCGGAATCACACGTTCCAGGTCCTCTGTCCAACCTGTGGACAAACCTGGGGAGCAGCTCTATCAAAGGGAAAAGGACAGCGCCTGGCCACAGCCATAGGACCTGTCTGCTGCGCATGCAGATGGATCTCTTTCCGGTCTCCGCCTGTCTTCTTGCCTATCAAGAGCAAAGCTGCCTCTGTAAGGACTCTGATCTCAGCTGCTGTCCAGTGCTCCCACGTGAGTTGGATCTGACCCCAGCCGGCCCCAGCTGCAGGGCGTCAGCGCCTGGGTGCCCCATGACTCAGGATCCAAGTCACCCTTCGTGGGACCCCTACCTCTGCCTGCCCCACCCCCAGGCAGCTGTATTTGATCTGGAGAAGAAGCTGCCTCTGCATTTCCCCTTGCTCCACCCCATCCTCCCCACCCATAGACAGCACAGCCTCTGCTCCAGCCTTGCTGGCGCCCACCTGCCCCAGGACAGGGGCAGCCTACCCAGGCTCCCAGGCAAAGACCCTATCTTCCTGGCAGCCAGCAACTGTTTCCTTCATATTCAGGTCTTAATCAGTACAAGTGTTTCCAAGGGCACCTCAGGACCACCCTCCAGCCAGGACTATCCCAACCGACTCCTCAGCAATCAGCTGCTCTTCCCACCAGCCCCGGCCCCTCAGAGCCCAAAGGAGGAAGGAGGAGCCTCTGGGGCAAGATTGTAGGGGTTTCACAAACAGCTCTGGCCGAACAAAGCCTGAATGCATTGCTTTCTAATGTCTGAAATCCTTTTAGCAGAGACAACACTTTAACAAACAACATTAGAAGCTGGATGGTAGTGCACGCCTGTAATTCTAGGACTCTGAAAGCCTTAGACAGGAAGATCACAAGTTCAAATCTAGTCCATGCGACTTGTGAGACCCTGCAACAAAATGAAAAAATAAAAATAAAAAGTAAAGAAGATTGGCCAGGTGTGGTGGCACATGCCTGTAATCTCAACACTCAGAAGGCTGAGGCAGGAGGATCACTGCCAGTTTAAGGCCATCCTGGGCTTCAAAGTGAGTTCAAGATCAGCCTAAACTGGAAAGTAAAACCCTGTCTCAACAACAACAAACAACAACAAAACAAAAAAAAAAAAAAAGAGGAAGAGAAAGAAGATCATCTAAAACATAGCTCAGTGCAAAGGCCCCAGGTTCAACTTCTAGTACCAAAAAAAAACAAAAATAAAAAACAAAAAAACAGAGTTGTAGAGCACAGTCCCAGCATGGATAGGCTGAGGCAAGATGGTTGTTTGAGTCCCAGAGCTCCAAAATAAATAAAACCACACATTGAGCACAGTGACATCAACTCTTTCGTCACTGTTCGAGAATTCAATGAGGCCACACTGCAGTGAAGTTTTCTCTGTGAGAAGATTTCAGCTGTAGGACCACTCGGACTTTCTACTTCCTGAGTCAGGACTGTTGATCTGTGCCTTTCAGGCACACCCATGTCACCTGTCCGTGAGTTTACCCACACGAAATAGCTTACACAACACCCCCCACACTGACGACCCAGACAGGCTCTCCTAAGTTGCTAAACTGCCCAGGGTGGGCTCAAACTTGCAATCCTCCTGCCTCAGCCTTCCACCGCACTGGGAGTTCACATGTGCAGGTTCCTTATCCTTTCAAGGCCCATGAGAGCCATGGTGATGTCAAAGCTCGTCTGCCTAAGACAGGCCCTCCACCTCCCAGGCAAGGTGCCATGATGGGCTGCTCCTCAGCTCCCACTGTGAAGGCGGCTTCACTCGCTGACCAGCAGGGACTTAGACAGGAGAGCAGGGCAGCACCAAGCCTCGCCGCGGCCCAGAGGCAGGGCCACCACCACCAGTTCAGTTACCAGCAGCCAGACAGACAAGCAGGAGGGTGGTGGGGAGAACACAGCCGCCCTGTCCCGTTCCTCTGCTCCCTTCTGCCAGGTCCAGCAAGGTCTCTCTTCTCTGCAGCCCCCAGCCCTTTGCTCTGCTGGCTCTGCCTCGGAGGCAGGGACACAGAAGGCAAGAACTCCAGCTTTGAGGACTCCAGTGCACCCATCGCTCCACGCCCTGAGTGTTCTGCACCCCTGGGATGTGGCCAGGGACATGGCTTCAGGGAAGAAGCCACCTTCCAGCCCCATCTTCAGTGTCCGACAGGGGAATGGGTGGCTACCACAGGAGGCAGTGCGCTGTGAGGGGGAACTGCAAAGACCCACACAGCTGGCCGGCCAGGACCAGGGTCCATGGAGACCAGGGTAGGGTCAAACCTGGCCTAAGGCACTTGTTGCTACCTGCTCGAGGTTACTGTCCTGGGCAGGGGCACAGGGAAAAAAAACCCCACCCCCAGCCTGAGGCTTGCCTGTGGCTCAGGTTTTAAGAGCTGCGGTGTGTGGGGGGGAGTCTCCCCTCCAGAAGGGAGCAGGGGGCTGGGAGGAGTCAGCAGAGCCGATTTCTGGGACCCAGCTCAGGTGGGGAACATGTCCCTGAACCCTCATGGACCCGCCAGCCCACCTGGGAGGGCTGCTGACATCTCTGTGGGAATTGGCCCTTTGCACAATTGGGGAAAACAGGGTGGTGGTTCCTGGCAGTGCCTGCCTGTGATCCAGCTGCTTGGGAGGCTGAGATGGGACAATCAAAGGTTCGCAGCTAATGTGAACAACTTGGCAAGACCCTGTCTCAAAAAAAAGAGCAGGAATGAAGCTCAGTGGAGTGCCCCTGGGTTCACTCCTGATATTAAATCGCCTATCTTGCAAGTGTGCAGTCATGAGTTCAATCCCTGGTACCAAAAATAAAAATAAAAAATAGAGACAGAGAGACAGACAGAGACCAAGACAGTGAGAAAGAGAAGAGACACAGAGAGATACAAAGAGACAGAGATATAGATAGACAGAGACACAGAGAGAGACAGAGACAGAGACAGAGAGACAGAGAGACTCAAACTCTAGCCCTCTAAGAGGTGGAAGTTTGAGCCTTTCCATTGTCTTGAGCCCAGGGTGAGGGAGAATTGGAGAAGTAGAGAGGGACACACACAGCACCCGGGGTCAGCCAGGTCCCACCACCTGTCCTGGTGTGCTGGGATCTGGTGATTTCCTACGGGTGCACCAGAGGCAGCAGGGCAGCCACAGGAGCCCGACTCTCCCTGGAGAGGGGAAGCTAAGCCCTGGGCTGACAGCCACCTCGATCCTGCCGTGGTTCTCTCTGCAGGAGGTTGAGCTGGGGGTGAGGGCTCTCTGAGCTTACTGCCTGTCCCCCAGCACAGCTCCCAGGGCACATGCTGTGCCCTCCTTCTGCACCTGCACGCCTGACTCTGCCAACAAGCAGGGCACAGCGAGCAGTGCACGTGATGGGAAGCCTGGTTCTGTTGTCTTGGCTGTGGCCGAGGGCAGGTCACAACACCTGCCCTACCTCGCTTCCTCATCAGTGAAGACAAGGACCGTCACAGGACATCACAGCCCTATTCCAGGAGGAAGCACAGAAGACACAGGCTGAGGGAATGGGCCAGTGGGGCAAGGAGAACTGGGCCTCAGCAGCAAGGACAGGGCGGTAGGAGACAGCAGTGGGGACACAGCGAGTCGCCTGGCTTGGCAGTCCTGGGATCAGACGAGCGGTGTCACCACATGCTGTAGAGACATCAGGCAGGGTGTGGAAGGAGCCTGGTCTCCTGCCAAAGGTGGCTGGGACAGCGGACAGCAGGGCAGGGAGGCCAGGGCCCTCCAGGCTTGAAGCTGAGGCCAGCTAAGAGGCTCTGC